TACCTCACGGAGTTGTTCCTGGAGCGTCTCAATGACCCGAGCCTGTTGTTGGATCATTGCTACCGATTCCTGAGAGCGTGCCGACTCGAAAGCCACGCCAGGTCGGTTCATCTGAGCTCCCGTTACAAAGGGAGTTCCAAAAGGAGCTCCCTGCGGGGGTACCGCCTCTTCGTGAACTGCCAATGTTCTTCGTTGGTTCGGACCCCTTTGACTTTCCGTTCCCACTGCCTGAGATTGCATCGATACCGACCCTTGATACAGAATGACTGATGGATTGCTCAGTCTTGGAGGAACGTGTACAGGGTTGGGAGCCAACCGAGCTGTCAGATCTTGTCCGGAGATCCGGGATGAATGTTGTGCGCCATCCATCCTCACCTCACCAAACTGGTATCGCTGCGTCGAGACTGGGGTTAAAGGTTTTGTTTGCAGGTTAACTCTGGGGGGAGGAGTCGAATTTTGAGCCAAGGCATGTACAGTGGGGGAGGTCCCAGAGCGTAACTGGGGGCTCCTCGTGGCCGTGTTACCGGGGTTAAGGAGTTCAGGAACCTCAATATTCCTGGGCGATGAATGTTTCTGTGCCAGGAAACGACCATCAGATCCATGGAGCTGCCCTTTCTGGTCAAATTGCTCCGGAGGGAACTCCCCTACGCTTTCGAGTTCGCATTGAACCATATACGAGGTTCCCCGATTATCCGCGACCAGTCTGCGACGGAATTCCAAAGCTCTTTCTAGATTCGATCCAGAAAGTTCCTCCGACAGCATCAGAGTGTCTGATTCCGCTAGTAGCATCCGGTGTCGGGTCTCCTGCGAACACAACATCGCTTCGGACTCCTCACTCCTGACCAGAAGCTGGTGCATATGCCTCATGGGCGTGTACATGTATACCGTCTGCCCGTTACGGACCCGGACGGGACTATCCTGATCAGGCATTGACTCCACTGGGGCCAGGAGGTGAGCCGTGGTGTATCTCCTGCGTCTACGATTTTTTGCAGCGATTGCGTTAGCATCCTCGTTACTTTCCTCATCGATTTTAGCTGCTGCTTCCGCTAGGTTTGCGTTCCAAAGTATTTGGATCGCCTGGTAGTTCGGTATGTTAACCCTCGAAGGGGGAGGTTCAAACCATACGGCTCCTGATCTGTAGTTAGAGGCTCGGTACAATATACGTAGCCCTGCTTCGCCACAGAATTCCTTCTCCCTTCCATGGGTATGAGGGAGGAGGGGAAGTATTCCCCTCGAGTTTCGGAACGATCGCCCGTAACGTGCCTCTGCCTCTAACAGTTCCAACATCCTCTCTGGGTCCAACAGGACGTTGTACAGCCAGAGAAAATCTGATCGGTTCGCGGGGGTCATCAGCCACTGCTGGGCCTTCTCTGGGAGGTCTATCTCCAGTTGAGTTCCCACTGTTAGGAACTGTACTCGTAGGTCTGAGAATTCGAGACCGTCTCCCAATATTTCGATCCCCATTGACTCCAATACCTCCCTTAGGACCATAGCTACATCCTCCGGGATACACTCCTGAATTCGAATGACGTCTTCCAGACGCAATGCCATTTCGGACAAGGGTTGTACTGGGAAGTTGGTCCTGCTATGGTGTATTGCGTGTGTACGCTCCCAGTTGGGCGTATTCATAGCTGGGCTTTTCAGGAGACTGGAGAGCGAACTTCCTCGTCTCGGGAGAGGAAGGTTAAGGGACTGTACTGGAGGCGTTGGTAACCTCCGGGATGACGTCCGAGATTGTTCGGATACGGCAGGGGATACCCTCCTCTCTGGAAGTTTCTCCTGTTGTCGTACTGAGAGAGGGTCAGTACTCCCCCCTTGTATCCTTTCGATAGCGGCTACTTGACCGCTGACTCTTCCACCCGCGTTCGAAGCTGACTCCATGTCTAGCTGCGGTACCGGTCCAGGGGGAGGTCCTCTCGTTCCCCAGGTAGGGGAGTATGCGAAACCTCCCATGGGACTACTGGCAGGTTGGGCGTAACCCATGGAGGTAAACCTCCGTTGTGGTGGTCCCATCCCAGGTTCCACTGGAGGGGGCCCCTGAACCTCCGGTTGACATCCCTCTGGGGTCCGGATGTTGCTGGCGGTTTCATCCCCGAACGACTGTTCTGGGATGGACATCAGGCGTTGACCAGCTGCCACCGTGATGACAGTGGAGCTAGCAGCCTGGTTCGATTTTTGAGCTTGTGTCGTGTTTCCACGAGATAAGGCGCTCTTTTGTTTCTTTGATTCGGTCTTGGAACTAGAAGGTTGTTCCGTTGACGTCGCCGACATTTCGTCGCGACGAGTCCGTTCGGTGACGGGAGAGCTTGGTATAATGTAAGACCTGGGTCAAAATGGGTCTTAGGGTAGGTTTTGGTATGTGGAGGTTTATGTTGTAGCGTGCTAGGAGCAGGCTGGAGCTCGAAGGGAGCTACGAGAACCGCGACCGAGGACAGGAATGACCTAGTAGTGGTTGGAACGACGAGAGGGTGACCCTTGAGGGGTTCCTAGGAGGTCCAGGGAGGTCCCTAATGCGTAGGGAGGTTCAGGAAGAGTGCGGGACCGTACGATATTGCGTAGTAGGAGTTGTACTCGCTAGAACGTCAATATAGGATCGAGTAGGTAGTTTATGCAACTGGGTCTCGAGGGTGTAAGCTCCCGAGAAGGGATACGCCAGGGAGGGTAGGTCCCTGGGGGCTAGGTTTGAGGATGGTCGTCCTCGAGTGTGGGAGGTGGTAACGGAGAAGCAATACGTAGTTCGACGTGAGGGGTAGCTTCGACGTTACCTAGATCGAGGTCCCGAAGCTTACGAAGTAGCTAGGGAGCTCTGGGAGGTTTGGGGAAGGGTAGCTCACCAAGCGGGTAGGCGTTGGGGAGCTTTAGTAATGTTCGAGGGAGCTCGGAGACTCACTCGGAAGGCTTAGACTTGAAGTAAAAGCGTATATTCGATCGTATAGACGATCAGAGAGACAATAGACAGTAGTAGAGAGAAACAGAGGTAGAGAAACAGAGAGTAGAGAGAATTCCGTATAGGTAGCAGGTACAAAGGGACAGGGACTGGACCTATGTAAAGGGTGTGTGTTCAAAATATACCAAGCTGGGGCTTCGGGACGTATCAGAGCTACTTAAATAGGTACAGGAAGTGATCAAGGGAACATCAGGGGCCATGAGGCGTGTAATCGAGATTAGTATCTTAATGGGGTAGGTGTAGGAGGGCTTCGACGCGTGTCGGGGGAGGTTTAGGAGCTGTCTTGGATAGGTACGGGCGTGGATCGGTACTGAGGGGTGAGAGTGTTTGGCTGATACTGGGGCTGTCCTGGTCGTCACCATTAAGAGGGCTGTGGATAATGGTCGAGGCATGACATGAAGTTAGGGGTTTGATTTGTCAAAACGACAGATACGGTACGTCTGTCGATCACAAAAAGGAAAACTAAGCACAATAGGATTGGAAATTTACAGTGCACTACCGCAAACAGGGGTTAGGTTTGTTAACAAGTTGGACGTGGTTAAGATCCATTGCCAATTCAAGTGATGAGACAGGACCTAACGAGGCATTGGACAGTAATTAATGCAACAATGTGAATGTAAAAGCAGACTAAAGTAGCACGGAATACACATCACATTTGGGTATGGTGAACACAACAGTTAAGGGCTGAAGGTTGGTACGAATATCATTTGTTGAAAGCAAATACTGCATAGCCATCATGCAACAATCTCGGGCACCTTGTGCATCAGAAATAAAAAGCTGAATCTTCAAATGGGACAGATTATGGAGATTAATGCAAGCCAGAACGGTGTCTTCCCACTGTACCTGGAGGGGTAGATGAGCAAGTACTACGTGGAGCTAGGCGAAACTCACACGTTCGGCCCAAATATAGCAATTAAATTTGAAAGTAAGTGAAGTCAGGTTACTGCAGCTATTGAGCAACCAACAAACGTCCGCACCAGCACATGCATAGGTAGTATATCCAAGAACCGCTGAAACTCGTGTTCAGACAACCGACCGCCAATGACGGTAATGACAGACACAGGAGTCTGCCAAAGTTCCAAGAAGATATTGATGTTAGGAAGTGATCCGGTAAAGGTATGCAGGAACTGAAGCGACCCCCCGAAATCAGGGATGGGAAAGAAATCAAAGTTTGCAAAATGAAGGTGCAAAGTTGTAAGAAAGGGGTGGCGGACCAAAAGGCTGATGATTGACACATGGAAACATGAATCTTGCAAAGAGAACGAACAAAGAGCAGGCATGACCATCCAGCTACTTTCGAACGCAAATGCGAGAGGTCCCAGGGCTGGAGTACCATCACGTAGCAAAGATTTCACTGAATTTGGGGGTGTGTTGAGGGCAAGCGTGAAGGAGGACATGTTTACAAGCTTAGGTACAATGCATTGGAGCATGTTGAATAGATAATTTTCATCGGCTACGATGATGTTGTTCAGTGAATGAAGCAACAAAGCAAAAAACACAACACCAACATTGGGAAGCCGCTGCAGTAAAGTCCAGCGATAAAGAAACAAGATAGGTAGATGTGATGGATCTAACACTAAATGCAGAGTAAGTCGTCGAGCTCATCACTCCGAGTCATCTCTGACCTGTGCAATTGATAGAATCTTCTATCAATTTCTCCACTGTTCTGTACAAGTATCTAACAAGTATAAATCTACATAGCATGTAAGGAATAACGACCTTTTTACAATTCTTTGAATATCATCTATATTGAGCTTTACTTCGTGTGAATGTAAGCTAATCCGAATATCAGCGCATTTGACGCCTTGTGCTCATCGTTGATTTCGACTTCTGGGTGTCCAACGCGCAAGCTTGACGACAAGGAAGGATATTCATTGTGTCTATCTTAAGGTATATAGTATTTCATTGATTTGAATCGAGAGTCTTATTCAAATATTACTCAGAAACATTACATTGGTGGACACACTGGGAACTCTCATTGTTCAAATGACGAAATTACCCCTACTCTCTGCTTACTCTCTCCTCACCCTCTAATCCTTCACTCTTCTTCAAGATGTCGCAAAGTCAATCAGATTTTCCCAAGGATCAGACCATTGATCCTAATAGCACTGTACAAACAGAGGGGGAATACGACCTTGAGCCACTCAAGTCTTTGGACATCGGACATGGAATTCATCGGTACGTGCTTAATCCTAAACGGGACGAAATCAAAAAAGCACTGACTCTTCTTCCTACTCTCCGACCGTTCTACAAGATAGCTAATAACCAGAACATTAGACAACGACGTGACAATGCGCTTAGGATCGCTGCTGTAGGATTAAAGCGAGCGGAATTATCGCGTCTGATGCCTCCACCACGAAAACTGTTCAAATCTGTCTTTCCAAAGGAACTGTCAGCTTTGGATACTCTGCTTTTCCAACATATCACAGGCACTCCAGCCTCGGGTCAATTTGTGAGTGAATCTGCTGTGGAATCAGACCCTGTTCAAACAGTGCATACTCTAGACTCACAAGGCTATATACAACTGAATTACGCCTTGCTACAACTTCAGCAAGCTGCAAAATCTTCCTTCCGACTCACCGGCAAGCGTCTCCCTGACCTTCCTTACTGGGGTGATTTTGGGAAGGTCGGCTTGGAATTTTACACAGAGAATGACTTTGAAATCATTGCCATTGCATATCGTGCACAAGTTGAGCATTTTCTTACCCGATTAGCGGATGTACACGACTTCAAGACTAACGAGTTGAGAAATGATTCAGAACTAGCTGAAGAACACATCAGGCTGTTTGGAGAAATTGTCGAAGCTGCCAACCAGGACATTCCTCTTCCTATGGAATCAATAAGCAATGCAGTACGTCAGCATCGTACTAAACGTGTAACTAGTACTAAGGCAGCTACAGCCAACTCTTATTCGGGAATAGGATCTTCAAGGATCACTTCATTACCACCACGCTCTACTTGTCGCCTCCAAGATGTATTTCCGGTATTTAATTTTGGGAAAAATGTTGCTGAGGCTCCGGATCCCGGCAATGACTCAAGTAGTAATGAAGATGATAGCGAGGATGAGAGACCCTCAAGGTCACCTCCCAGGTTAAAGTGTCAAATACCGGTGGCCACTTCTATTGGTGCAGGTTGGAGCGAGGAACAGTTTGATATGAGACTCAAGCAAGACACCGTTCCAACATGGGACGGTGACACTAATACCATTATTCGCTGGATCAAAAGAGTGAACGACTTAGCAAAGAAGTCACGGAAACTCTGTAAACAGCTGGGTAGTATTGTTCCGAGGCGGTTGGAGGGTTCAGCTCAATATTGGTATTACTCCCTTTCTTTATCCCATCGTGATCACCTCGAAACTGACTGGGAACTGCTTCGAGATGAAATTGCAGCTTATTACATGAATCGCCGCTGGATGGAGACTATGTGACGAAAGGCTAATCGTGCTTCGTATCGTGAGGCAGGACATCCACGGGAAACACCTAGTGAGTATTATATCTGAAAAAGTGAGTTACTCACTACTGTCTATGAGCTTGTAGACTCTGAAATCATCTCTAAAATCATGGAAGGTGCTCCAGCTAACTAGTCGACTATCCTTTCGACCAAGGACTATGATACGGTACTTGACTTTCAAACGGCCATCAAATTTTATGAGGATACTTTACTTGAACTTGAGCGTGTGTCATCCTCTCATCGAAGTAATGATCACGATCGTTCTAATCATTCGAAATACCAGTATAACCGTGCTTATGCTATCGGAATTCGTTCTGACTTTATTCCCTCGGGATGATTCCAATATCTCTCGAAGAGGAACACCGAAAGATAAGGGAGCTCGTCCATATTGTCATTGCGGTAGTGACTTGCATTGGGATAATGAGTGTAAGCACTCCAAGCAGAAAATAGCTCGCGCATGCTTATGTGAAACCTCAGTAGATGATCTTTGAGTGCAAGATGAATATGAGGAACTTTTTGAGAGCCTCGAACCGGAACAGGATTTTGAACAAACCCTCCGGTTTACCGAGAGCACTGTTTACAAAGCTCAACATTCGGCTCCGGAGGGACCTATCTACAATATGCCTACATTACCATCAGTTGCACCTACCATTATGGACTCAAATATCTTACCTAACCTATCTTTGGGTAATGAAAATCTTAATTTGTCTTCAGACGTATGCACAGAGTCTAAAACACCCTTGCGAGCCCCTTTGCGAGCCTTTAGGATTGAAACAGCATCTGGAACGTCATCAGCAACCTGTAAACCCTTTGTTGCAAAGCCTGCATTGAATCGTAGGAGTCGGCGCAGACTGGCAAAGGCCGTTCAGAGACTGACTTACTCGACACAGGCATTTCGAGGAATGCAAATCAATAAGCCACTCATCGAACTGAAACGTGGCATGTCTCGACTGCCTGGAACCGCCTTTCTCGGATCTAAGGCAGTCGAAACTATGGTCACAGTAAATGGATTTGAAGAGGAGATGAAGTTAATAGTGGATTCGGGTGCTGATATTACTCTGATTTCACAAGCTGCTCTTGATGCTCTATTGAGTAAACCAAAGGTAAAGGGTGGACAGCGTGTTAGTCTTCTTCAGGTGACGGGTAAGGCTTCTATATCAGGCTTTGTGGATCTAGATCTATTTCCATACCCCTCAAGGCCCCGTAAAATTAATGGTGGAAGCATATGTTGTGAACGGTATGATTACTCCGTTCTTGCTTGGTACCGACTTTCAGGAACAATATTCACTATCTATCCTACGTCGTGAGGGACAAACATTTTTAGGATTCGGAAACTCGGGAAGGGAATTGGAGGTAAGTAATTCTCTAACTTCGGGTATGTGTGATGAAGATGGTCACGCATTTAAAGTGTTTTTGAGGAGGGAACTATCAAATCGGTTACCACGACAGGCACAACACAGGAAGTATCAGAAACAGAAGCATCATCAGGCCATCACCAGACAGCGAGGGGAGGTGCGTGCTGCTCAGCGTATGATCGTTCCGGCGGAATCCTCAACTTGCATACCTATTGTGGCTTATTTTCCGGAAAATGTGAGTTCTCTATTGGTTGAGCGTTGCCTCCACCATAATTCTAACTTAGATGATGTTTATGGGGCAGCTGATACCCTTATCTCCCGAAACAAACCGTTCTTGCATGTGGCGAACTTTTCAAAGAGACCAGTGGTGGTGGCGGAAGGAGAAGTACTTGGTAAATGTCACAACCCCGAGACGTGGCTTGATAAAGCTCATTGATTATCTCCCAGCAATAGGAACAGTGCAACAGCCCACGCAGCAGTAATTTAATACCTGGTTAGAGCTCAAATGGTTCATTCAGAAGCACAGATATCATCTAAGGCACAACGTAATGCAACTGAGGAGGATGATCCATTAGCAGAAGAACCCCTGGAGGGAGGACCGAAGACGGCTGAGGTAAGTTTCGATGACACTGTCTCAGAACAATTACTCTCAGAAATTCACATCTCACCCGACCTTACAGATTCACAATGGAAAGCTATTGAACAAGTAGTACATGCGAACAGCAATACATTTGGGTTAGACGGACATTTAGGTAACCATCCTGCACAGGTCGAAATTCAAATAAAGCCTGATGCTAAGCCTATTTCGCTTCCTCCATACTCCGCTTCACCAGCAAACCATGAAGTCATTGATAAACAAATCGATTTATGGTTAGAGCTTGGTGTTATTGAACCCTCAAAGAGTCCATGGGGGGCACCAGTATTCATAGTCTATCGAAATAGTAAGCCACGGATGGTGATTGATCTTCGACGCTTGAATTCAATGGTCATTCCTGATGAATTTCCGCTTCCTCGACAGGAGGATATTTTACAAGCACTTACAGGAGCTCAGTGGCTGTCTACACTGGATGCCTTGGCAGGATTCACTCAACTGACTATGTCTGATGAATCTGCAGAGAAGTTAGCATTTCGGTCACATCGAGGTTTATATCAGTTTCGTCGTATGCCATTTGGTTATCGTAATGGGCCAAGTGTATTTCAGCGTAAGCGTATAATGCAAGGTGTGTTAGCTCCATTTCTCTGGATTTTTGCCTTGGTGTATATTGATGACATAATAATATTTTCGTTAACATTCGAAGATCATCTGAAACATCTCGATCAGGTATTAAAAGCTATTTCTACAGCATATATCACTCTCTCACCGGCGAAATGTCATTTCGCTTATCAGTCCCTACTTTTGCTTGGACAAAAAGTTTCTCGTCTAGGGTTATCCACACATAAAGAGAAGGTAGATGCTATTTTGCAATTAGATGAGCCTCGGAATGTTCATGAGTTGCAAGTGTTTCTGGGTATGATGGTATATTTTTCTGGTTATATCCCTTTTTATGCATGGATCGCTCATCCTTTCTTCAGTCTCTTACAGAAGAAAACACCTTGGGCTTGGAATGAAGTTCACCGAGAAGCATTTGACCTTTGTAAGCAAGTTCTTACAAATACTCCTGTTTGTGGATATGCTCAACCTGGAAACCCATACAGACTTTATACAGATGCCTGCGACTACGGACTAGCTGGAATTCTTCAGCAAGTTCAACCAATTAGGGTTCGGGATTTGAAGGGAACTCGAATGTATGACCGTCTGCTGAAAGCTCATCAAGCAGATGAATCAGTTCCATCTCTGATCACACGGATGTCCAAGGACTTTGATGATGTACCTACTAACAGTGAGTGGGACTCAGTTTTCGATGATACAATAGTCTACATTGAACAGGTTATAGGATATTGGTCGCGTGTACTAAAATCAGCAGAGCGCAATTATTCAGCAACAGAACGTGAGGCTTTAGCACTCCGGGAAGCCCTTATTAAGTTCCAACCATACATCGAAGGTGAACAGATTCTGGCTGTCACTGACCATGCGGCACTTACCTGGAGTACCACCTTTCAGAATGTCAATCGGCGACTTCTTACTTGGGGAACAGTCTTCGCAGCATACCCAGATTTACATATAATTCATTGTGCTGGAAAGGTACATTCTAATGTTGATCCCATCTCACATTTGCGACGACGTGTTCCTCCGCAGGATAGTCCTGATCTCGAACACATTACACCTATTCCTATCAAACCTTTGGAGGAGGATCCTCTCCATAACATGTATGAGGAGCTTGGTGAACAATTCGAGGAGAAATTACTTACTGTTGCAGCTAATTTTTGCAATAGTAGTGATAAATACGATGGATATACTAAGGGCTGTACTACCTTCACAAATGTGGGCACCGATGATGACTCAATTTATCAACCGCATGCTTACACAACTTCAACTTCTTATAATCTTTTAGTGGGATTCTCAGAAGAAGAACTTATCCGATGGAGGGATGCTTATGCTACAGATAACTCTTTTGGTAAAATCATCAATATTCTGAGAGATCCTGAGCAGGCACAGAGTATATATCATTCTCAATACTTCTGTGGAGACAATGGTTTACTTTATTTTGAGGATTGGAATGGAAACAATAGATTATGTGTTCCCAATACACTGCGTATGGAAGTCATTGCTGAAATTCACGATTCATCAACTGAGTCAGCACATGGAGGTTATCACAAATGCTATAACCGACTCGCAGCAACACACTATTGGCCTCATATGTCAAGGGATCTCAAGCTCTACATTAGTACGTGTGATATATGTCAGAAATCTAAACCTCGGAGACACGCACCCTATGGATTGCTACAGCCCATTCCTATTCCACAACGACCATTTGAGGTGGTAACCATGGATTTTATCCCGGAGCTACCACTCACGCCACAAGGACATGATAATGTGCTTGTAATTATTGATAAACTTACCAAGTTCATAACATTCATTCCGTGCACTACAACTATCACTGATATTGAAACAGCTCAACTCTTTTTCCATCATATTATCTCAAAATATGGCATTCCCAGACAGGTCATCACGGATCGTGATACGAGATGGCACCACAGTTTCTGGGGCGAAGTCTGTCGCCTCATGGGTGTCAGCGACTGGTTCTAGTAACGGGTGTCACCAGGTGTCACACTCAAGAAAACCTCAGGTAGCGGAGCGATAGAGGAAGCAAGCAAAGTTCTGGACTAAACCAGGTAGAATAGATGAGATCAAAGCTAAGGAAATACAGCAAGTAACTACAGCTTATATACAAGTAAGTAACCCTCTGCCCTAGTAATGTCTGATACTCTGGGTCAGTGGTAAGCATGAGTAAAACATGTGTGAAACAGATAAAACCTAAGTAAAGCAATGTGTAAGTAATAAAGACTTGATCGACATGCTGTATGCGTGTTGTAAGACTGCTGTGTTTAATATAAGTGAAATGAAAGGCGCATGTTGTATCAGTAAGCATGAACAATAGGTCAGGTGACAAGATAAGACAAGATAAGACAAGATATGAGATAAGGGAGATAAAAGATAAGACAAGATAAGGAAAAGATAAGA